AGGTGGTCAGATCTGCTAGCAGAGCAGGAATCTCAGTGAGCATGACTGGTCTGGGATCAGGTCCTCATAATCCTGTAACAATGCTCCATAATGGGAGGGCAGGACCCTGTTCCCTGTGTTACCTGAAGTGTTGGGGATGGAGAGCCTAGAATTTGAATTCAGCTGCCTGAGTGTGTATGGAATGGAATCATCATTCCTGAGATCATTCCTTCCCACCTGGGGATTGTTCAGCTGTATCGGACAGGTTGCATAATCAAGTTTTTCATATTAGACATCTCCCTTAAGCACATGTGAGTATGTATACACACACACACACACACACACACACACACACACACACTTTAGGATAGAGATTAGGAGATTGTGTAGCATAATATTCAAGAGTTTGGACTCGAGTGGGGCTGCCTAGTTTTGTGACTTCTTAGCTCTATGCCATAGGCAAAAAAAATTTAACCTCTCTTGACCTCAGTTCCTAATCTGTACAATGAGAATAATAGTATATTTTTTTTGTCTTTTTGAGACAGGGTCTCCCTGTAGCCCCAGCTGACCTGCAACTTGCTATGTAGGCTGGCCTTGAACTCAGAGAGATTTGCCTGCCTCTGCCTCCTCAGTGCTGGGATTAAAGGCGTGTACCACCACACCCAACTCAAAGCTTGTTAGTGTTTTTAAAATGAATGCAAAAGTAACAGACAGTAGTATTATTTATGTGATTATAAGTAAGACAAGGTGAGGTGACATTCCAAAGTCCTTGATTTCTGTCTATTCCCCTAGTTGGATCCTATAAGAACGAAGGATTTGCTAAGCCATTTTACTCTTGTTATTTCTGGTCAGAAAAGCACAGTATTGAAAGAAGCAGGACACCTGAGGGATTTGTAATCCATACCTGCCTGGAATGCAGGCTAAGAAGAGGCTAAAAAATGTGGATCTATTGTAGCTCTGGTGAATTCACGTCGCTTCTCCAGAGATGTGTTTGTAAGGGGTGTTCTTAGAACATGATTCCTGGTTCATCCAGAGTGGGTCACCCATGCTTCTTTGGTTAACTTGAAGAATGGATAGTCTCTTGACTTGCCTGTGTGTATACTAGAGGACCTTGATTCATCTAAAGTGGCCAAGGTACTAGAAATATCATAAAGCATTGAGGCTGAGAACAGGGAGCACTGAGCAAGTGAATGCTATATGGAGGGTAGTCAAACTATCCCTACCCCCTACAAGTCACAAACAGCTAAATTGAGAAATCCAGTGCCCACAGTAGCTATTTTGAGAGCTGGATAGAAAGAATGGAGGGAGGAGGAGCAGGAGAAAGAAGCTGGAGCACACTGCTCATCTGAGGGTGTGAGGGAGAGTCAAGGGCATTGAGAACAATAGGGTCTCTTCCTTAAAGTACTCTCTTCTGGCCTTCCCAATGGAAATTCTTGATCTTAGGTTATGACCTTTCATAAATTTAACCCAAATGGAGCTGGGAAACCCCTGGGGAGCCAGATCACAGCCACTGCTCTATTCCAGGACCAAGGAGGCTCATGGAGAGGGAAGTTGGCAGGACAGAGGGGATGTGGCTGGCCTGTGGGGTTCAGTCCTGACACATATTCCTGCTTGGAGGATTCTTCTCAAGATCAGCCAATAGAAGTAAAGTTAAGGACCACCTGAAAGGATATATTTAGAATGGGAGTTCAGATTTTCCTTAAAGGGGGAGGAGTTGGGGTTAAGGTGATAGGCTTGGAGTTGGATACAGGAATAGTGGTTAAAGCCAGGACAAGAGTTAGGGATTTGCTGGCAATAGAGAAAGTAAGATTTAAAGTCAGACACCATGGGACTATTGAACTTGCCTGTTGATCCATGACCCTCCTGTCTGGATGACTAGCTGTTATCTAATTGCACCTTCCATCTATGTTATATAATTGCGGTGTGCAGAAACCACTTGTGATGACAGTATGTGATTAGTGAAAGGTATCACCTTGTAACTGCTAGACCATTATACTGATCATGTGTAAAAAATAAAGTAAAAAATAATTGACCACAAGATCAAAGAGAAAAAGAATGACTGGGTGTCAGCCACCCTAGGGTCTCAAAAATAATCCTTCATCCCATAGATGCTCTTTTGGTCAAGGGTAGACTATCAGGACTCCCCTAGGGTTTCAGAATCTTGGTTTTTGTTTATTTATTTATTTATTTATTTATTTATTTTATTATTTTTTTTTTTGTTATCATTATTATTATTGGTCTTTTTGAGACAGGGTCTCTTTTTTTTTTTTGAGACAGGTGGCACTGGCTAGCCTATAGACTGGAACTCACTATGTAGACCAGGCTGAGCTGGAATTCAGAGATTCACCTGCTTCTGCATTCTAAGTGCTGGGATTAAAGGTGTACACTACACCCTACCTCAGAATTGTGTGTGTGTGTGTGTGTGTGTGTGTTTTCAAATCTCTCTCTTTACCTCTCTCTGATAGAATCTCTTTATGTAGCTCAGTCTGGCCTAGAATTTGCAATCCTCTTGCCTTGCCTCCCAAGTGCTGTGATTATAAGTTTGTGTTCCTACATGCAAAGAGTGGAATGTGTGTAGTGTATATAGTATGTGATATGTATGTTACACATTCTTGGTGTATATGTATGTGTGTATGTTCCAGTGGATGTGGATATACCAATGTGTATGTGTGTGTGTGTGTTCATGTGTGTGTGGTGCATGCGGGTGTGTGTGCACATGCACATAAGTACACATGCAGGTGGAGGTTAGAGAATAACCTCAGATAGGGTGTCATGCTTCAGACACCATCTACCTCTTTTTTGGGGAGTAGGGTTAGGAGACAGGGCCTATCACTGATCTGAAACTTGCCAAGTAGGCTAGACTGACTGCCCAGCAGCCTAGGAATCCACATGTCTCTGCCTCCCCAGCACTGAGATTACAGATGTGTGCCCCTGTGCCTGGCTTTTTTACATGAGTTCTAGGCATTAAACTCAGGTCCTCATGCTTGTATCACTACTAACTGAGCTATCCCTCTCCCTCTCTTTCTCCCTCTCCCTCTCCCTCTCATCTGTTCCTGTCCCTGTCCCTTCCCTCTCTTTCTCCCTCTCCCTGTCTGTCCCTATCCCTCTCTTTCTCCCTGTCCCTGTCCCTGTCCCCCTCTCCCTCTCTCTTCCTCTTCTCATCCTGTGGCTCCAGCTGTCCTGGACTCACCATGTAACCCAGGGTAGCAGGATTACAGGTATGGACTACCATGCCTGGCTTCCTCATCCCATTTTTAATACCCTGTCCTTTAGCATCAGCCATGATAGTTTTCTTACTCTTCCATTAGTAGACACAAACCAGCCTAATGGACATTCTGTTTGATGTTTTATCTGCCCACAAGGCTCTTCATCCAGACATTTACATGGCTCATGTGTGTGTGTGTGTGTGTGTGTGTGTGTGTGTATGTGTGGTGTGGTGTGTATGGCTCCAGACAGGGAAAGGTGGAAACATTTGGAAGATGTCTCCTAATTGCTTCTGTTTTTGAAGTAAACCATATGCTCATGGCACTCTTCCTGCCTCAGACTCCTGAATGCTAGGATTACAGACATATTCTTCCATACCTGGTTTGTTGAATGAATTTTGGTGATTTTTTCTTCTGTTCTCAAGACCTACTTCTTCAAAAGATTCAGAGAATATGCCTGGTCATGGGAAAGCTTGAGTGTATGTAGGAGGTCTAAAGGGATAGTACCTTAATACTTACACACACACACACACACACACATA